GCAAGGTTCGCTACTAGGAACAAGGTGCATCGCTTCTAGTAGCAAGGGCCGCTGGGCCTTCGTCTTCCCGCCATTTCAGACTCCAGGAGTTGGCCATTCTAGCACAAGCCTTCCAGCGCTACGATGGAGTGTCTTAGTCGCATGATCCACCTCAGGCTGACTTTACTTCCACTTGGCTCCGTCTCAGTCACAGGGATGAGGTCCTTGGGAAGCCTTTTGGCTAAAGGTTTTTTCCAAGCCGAAACCAGCCCTGCTCATTTCCTCATTTTCCTCTTTAGTTCAGACATGTGCTCAGCGCGTCACCAAGGATGGCAGTGGAGCATTGGATGCTACCGAGCTGCAAAGGGCTCTTCAAGACCTGGATTTGCCTGCAGGAGATGTGGAGGTGCAGCGCTTTTTTTGGGTATGCATGGCCCCGAGCAGAACCTGACCCAGCTTGTGCGCTGAAAGCTGGTTGAGAGGTTGATAGTTGATTGCAACATATTGTGAAAACAAACCATCTATGATTTTGGATCATTTTGATTGATATCCCTCTTGCTCATGTCAAAACAAACAATGTGTGTAGGACACAGAGCTCTCTTGACGTTGCCCTGTAGGTCTCAGAACTTTTCTCGAAGCTGGATGTGAACAAGGCGGGAGGTGGCAACTTGCCCAGAATATGGACCTGGACTGGTCTCCACGTGTTGAGAAGCCTTTTAAACATCCAGCATGTCGATATGCGCGCGAATCACTTAGAAAAGCTTGTTGGGAGGCACTACTAACCACAGACGATGCTGGCAGGATGGCACTGTAGAGCTCACTGAATGGCTGGACCACATGCCTGCCGGTACAAAGCTCAAGGTTCTTCAGAAGGCAGCTGGGGAAACTCAAAGGCATAGTACAGTGCGAGGTATGATGTGCGAGGCATTGATAGGCAAAGATCAAAGGGACAGTGGAGTGCAGTTGCCAGAGAATGACACGCAGTCTTGACATGATTGAAGTTTTTCAAGCTTTAGTTTCAATTGGCTTTTATCGCAGAAACACAATGTTCAATATAGCTCTACTGAGTAAGAGTATGAGTAATTTGCCATGACTAAGAATCTTCTATTGTTTTTGATATCAGAAGCCTTTGATACGGGACAAAGAAGACGCTTCTTGGGCTTTTTGTTTGTTCGTCATATGGCCAGTACTCGCAGGCAGATGAAGCCGGAAGGACCATTCGCTTTGAAATCCCTGATGTGGCACGTCTAGTGACTATAGATTTCTGAAGGTTCAAAGAGTCACTTCCAGACCTAAGGCCTAAGGCCTTTTAAAAGCGCTTTTGTTCAAGATGCTTTTTAAAAAGACATTTACTGTAAAGGGGACCTCATTAAACAGGCCCTTCCTCTTTTGTTTTCCTTTATTTTTCTTCAGCATTTGTGTTTGTAGGACCGGAAGTCGGTTACTAGGAGCGGTCTTGTTTGTGGTGATAAGGGGGGCCAAGAGGAAAGGCTGGAAGCATCAGTGTAAAACAAGCACATTTGTGCTAGCCGCTAGCCATTTTGTGTTTGTTTGTTATTTTCTTGAACGGCACCAGGGTTTGTGTGACTGCAAACATACTTTGGAGAAGGAATCCAGATGAACCACTGGCCAAGCTGGCAAATAGATTCCAGCTCTAGTGATGGTCCTGTGATGGTGCACTCAGGTGAAGATCATGTATACCCACACTGATGAAGCGCCCATGTTGGCAACCTACTCACTGCTGCCGGTCTTGCGTGCATATTGTCGCTTCGCAGGGGTCAAGATCATGAAGAAAGCGCCCTGGTATGTCGAGGGCACTGTAACTGTAGCTTGCGGTTGCAAAGCAACTATCCAAGTTTTCTTTTTGCATATTAACTCCCTTGGCGGAAGCGAAACTTTGCAGTTTGCAGGATATAGGTCTTTGTGATCAGCTGCAAGCACTTGATATATATAATTGGGTCTCAAACACATTCCAGAGCTCAACAGGATATTTCCTTATCAGCTCGGATCATTGCCAACTTCCCTGACTATGTGCGCCCGGCCCAGCGGATGGACGAACTGTGGCTGCGCTAGAATGTTTTGGTTTGGTATCCGAATCATTATACCGAGGAGTTAATAAACATCATAAAACACATCATACCGAGTAGTTATTTACATATATACTGATATATACTGTATATACATAATATATTATATATACACACAGAATTACATCTGCTGTATAGATACTGTAGATACTCATGTTTTGTGGGTCATGGTAGGTAAACATCCCTGCGGGCATCCAGAGGGGCTCAGGAGGCAATGTAAACCGTCTTCTACCAGGGGTGGGAGTTCATGTCGAGGATAGGCAAGAGGGGACACGGGACGCAAACTCCTCCAGGAAAGGGAGATGCGCGTTTTTTGTGGCCATGCCTGTCAACCATATGCAAAAGGGCACCCCATATGGGGTGGGAGTTCATGACCATATTGATCTTGTTTACGGTGGCTGGCTTTCGTCCCCTCCCTTCTCAGGTTTTGCTCACTTAGCAATTTTTTTGTACCTTGGTGCAATGACCCAGCCATTTTTTGCTTGCAGCTCGACACGAGGATGACCTCACTGAGCTGGGGAACTTGGCCAAACACCCGGCTGCCAACATCATCAAGCGGCGTGGCCTTTAAGTAAACACACAATCGCACACACACACACACACAGAGACTTCATGGATATTATGGAGGTTTCCAAGAGTCAATTTGATGTTGTGGGTCCACTTTTGGGGTGTTTTTGAAGGATAGGAGATGCCCATGAATGCCCATGATCCAACAATGCATTCTTTTGTAAAGAGACAAGAGACACGACGTCAATGTCGTCTTCCATCTTCCCAAGGCTTCCAAACATCTCCGCCTCGGTCCCTCAGCTCTTGGCCGCGATCAAGGAGGGTCCGAGTCTGCATGTTGGGTGTGCGTTGCCTGTGATTGTTGCATTTTGCATGACACACAGCCACTAATCGAACAGCACCCTGATGAACATGAGCTTTTTTGTTTTCATGATGCAGTCAACCGGAGGTTGTTTTCTGTGAGGAGTTGCAAGCAAAAGGCTTCAATGTCCCTGACTTCCCGGCCGAGCCGAAGACCGAGCAGGACGTCTCTCCCTCCCATTCCTTCCTAATGCGCCGCTCACAATCGCTCCTCCCGCTCTATGTCTAGAGTCTAGGACTGGTGTTCTGTAGGGCACTTAGGGGAGAGACGGGTAAGCTGCGCATGCACAAGACCCGTGCCATTTTCGATGCTGCTAGCCTCTGCATGCTTCCAGGAGATTGAAATCAGGAGTCGCTATGCCAAGGCTCGGGATGGGGAGGTCTCAAGGAGTAGGGAATCGAACAAATACTTACTGTATTTGCGATCAAGGGAATGCTAATGGTTGCTCTCAAAGGCCATTGTTCGAGGTTCAGCTCTTTGACCAAGCAAGAACAACAGACATGGGAAGTTTGAAGCGGCCAACGCTCCTTGCCTCCTTGTCCTCCTTCCTCCAAGGTATCAGTGGACGATAGTGGTTTAGATTCTCCGGAAGCGCCACGGTGTAGGTCCTGGGAAGCGCTGTGAACCCGGTCTTGCGAGAGGGGAACTCGGACCGGCGTGTCGCAAAGCCGGTGAAGGACGCTTCGTGGTGCTGGGATCTTGGGAGGAAGATGCCAACAAAGAGAAGCAGACAAGTAGACCACAAAATGGCTGTGGCCTTTCACGAAGGATGATCCAGAAGTGGTGGTTTCTTCCAGATACCTTATACTACAAAACTCAATCTGACACATGTTTGTGGTTTGGGCGTTTGGGTTTGGGTGGTTTGGCGCACGATGCGTCGTGAGGAGTATGCCATGAAGCATCCGCATAAGAACCACGAGTGGTCCTCCAGCTCCAAAAGCTCGGTGGCCTCCATGTCGGATGGCGATTTCTTCTCCTCCGAGCAATCCTGCATTATGGAGGCCCACAGCGCACGGCCACTGCTGGGATGGCTGGTAGACATGGCTGGACATGGACTGCGTGCTGAAAGCAGACCCCGAGACCATGTTTTGCTATTTGTTTGGCATCAGACATTTTTCTTGAAGTAGGATGAACATCAGGCACCGTTAAATAAGTTAAATAGAGTCAGTCGAGCTCACCGACGGTGTCAAGAGGAAGGTCCATGACTTCGTGCCGAATTTCCTTTGCCCTTGGAGGATGTGTCAAGTGTGAGGATTGAGCTGGTGACTAGCTCTGGCACCACCGTGCTGAAGGCCAAGACGCCGCTCCTGTCAGGATCGGTACAGAGCGACGACCAATTCAACATGCGAAAGGAAGAACAGTTTACTTGTCCCAAGTCCCAAGGGCTGCACTTCTCGTGGGTCCATTTACAATCATTTATATAGAGTCTCGCAATACTCATATCCATTTTGTTATTCCAAGATGACTAACGAGGAATTCTTTATTTTAGTACGGACTATAATGCTTCATGAATTCAGGATCTTTTGACAGGCAGGCTTCCCAAAGGTATGTTTAATCGAAGAGGGGCAGATCAATAGTCGCATTAGGAGATGCTTCGGCCACTGTGTATTGTAGGGTCAAAATCTTTTTACTTGCCCCCTGAGGAGAGGTCATTGACGGAAGTGTCATGAGAGCTGCCAGGATGCACCCGAAAGATGATGGGAGGGAGGTTCGAAAGAAAAACACATCTTTTTTTAGGTCTTCCGTTTCCCAGAAGCATGTGTGCAAAGAGCTGTGGCTGTGTGCGGTTCGACTTTTTAACTTGGAAGGATAGTTGAGGTCAAGACCTACGGCTTGCAGTATATAAATACCTTGACATACTCAGCCTTGCTTTGACGTTAGTGCACAACGAACTTGAACGCTGCCAATGCGTGGAATCCAGTGATCTGTGGTTCGAACTGAAGTTGAGTTGCCGATCCCTCCTAACTCTAAGTGAGGTGGCCGAACTTCGGAACTTCTATGAGAAGGAAATGGAGTCAACGGAGCCAGGAAAGGTGTCAAGCACATGTCAATGTGAGAAGCCGAGCTAACCATTAAGGTGTTCAGTGTTCAGGGTAGTCCGATTGGCTAAGCATATAACTATTGGAGAAGATGTACGGTCCTTACAGCAGCAGTTGTTCCAAGTTGAAGAAACACATTTTTGGCCTTCTCCTGGGATGCAACACAAGCTTTGTATATCAACATTCTGAACCCACTTGTCCAATCTTTTCCATCAGTTTTTTGGATTATTCCAGTGTCAAATACCACAGTCTTCATGGTCCGTGTTGCGGTGTGGCGAGTGTAGAGCAAGACAGCAGGAACTCTCTTTTCCTTGCACCTCAAAGCTACCATGATGCTGCTTTGCTGAAGCAGATTGATAGCCGGGATGTTGATTGAGCTGATCGAGTAAGACTCGCTCTTCCGCTGTTACCTTTTTCTTATTCAGTGCCAAGTTTGCTTGCAAGTGAACACCAGTCAGAACTTTCCCACTACGTTGCGTTTCTCCAGAACATACAGATGCATTGTCATGCACTCCCTTGACAGTTGACATTATCACTATGCAACGGTGCTTCTTGATGCTTCATGGACATTTTGGCAAACAGATCCAGACAGGGGTTGAGTTGTGATATGTTAGATTGTTACTTATGTCATGGTAGGCTTGTAGTCAAGGGCACCGAAAGGAGTTGAGCTCCCTTGAGCACAAAGGCTTGCGTAGTCCTAGGCTTGAACAGTGAGAGTCAAGAGTCCAGCGGCGTAGTTAAACACTTAGGCTTAACTCCCAACCGCAAAGCATCGGACCATTTCCATGCCCTCAAAAACCAACACGCTCTTGTTCCTCACACATCAGACACTGAGCCAGAGGAGATCAGAGAAATGTGTTTCTTGTTTGTTGTTTTCATTTTGTCCGAACCATTCGCTTCAGTTCAAGGAAAGTGTCAGACCCTGTGCTCTTCGGCCACTGTGTTGAGGCGCTGACAAACTGCCACCAAGCCTCAGAGTTCGTAAGAACATTTTCTGAGAGCCCTGGTTTTGAAGCAACTTTCTTTGATGCTCCCCTGCATGTTGGATCTTACTCGGAGTCGTCAACCCTACATGCTTGCCAGCTACTTCAGGGTTTCAGAACGTTGAGGTAGGAGAAACATCAATGCTGATTCCTTTGCTGCTGGTGGTTGGAAACACGCACCTGGCCAATCAAGATTCATCTCCGCTTTAGCAGGTCTACTACAAAGATGCCTTTCAAAAGCATTCTGCGCTCTTCAAAGAGCTCGGGGTGAACCCCAACAACGGCGCAGGGGGGCCTATGTTGGCGGGAGAAGTCAGGATGAGACACCAAAACGCTTTCCAGCCAAACAGGTGGTGAACCACTCTTTGGATCTCTCGTGTTTGTCTAAGACACCCGAACGCAGAAATTGACTGAGTGTGATGTTGACTTTGAAGCAGTTTTACAATCCAATGTGTTTAGGGCAAGCTCAAAATAGCTCAAAGCACACTAGGCTCATAGATCTCATAGGCTTTCCTCCTTTCCTTTCGCGCGTCGAACATTCTCGGAGGTCGGAGACGTCTACACCAAGATTGCAGGACACCCAAAGCAGGCCTGCTCTTCGACGGCTTCCTGTGTGTTGACCGCAAGTCGTGCGACGTTTTGGTTTGTTCGGCTTGGACTGTCACATGTTACCCAGGCCATTCCAGGCACAATTGTCAGACTTGTTGGTGTTCTGGTCTGAGATTTTCTTCTTTTTTCTCATGAAATCTTATCTCGTGGCCGGCTTCCGTGACACTTTTGGAATCCTTGCGAGGCGGAGGTTGAAGCTGACTTGGCAGCGTGCTATGAGAAGAGACCACCTTTGGCATACGTGGACTCACGGCGTGGGATTACCAACCTTCATGTGCCACACTTTGTTGCCGCAGGACTTTATGTTCATATTTGGCTTTGTTGTTCAGCCGCTTCAAGATCATTAACCTGAGGGTCCATATCATTTATGAGTTGTTGTTGTCTTAAAGTCGGAGTTAGTGTGGTCATGTATCGGACAAACACTCAATAGAAGCACATGGACTGTCAACCGACGTGTAGTCAATCCCAAGTAGATCACTTTTCTGATTGTCTAGGTTGGAGGCCATCGCTATCATATAGGTTAGAGGCCATCGTTATTCGGTTGGAGGCCCTCGCTATTAGGTTGGAACAACCTTGCTTTTCTTTTCTTGTCTCATGGAGAAACACCAGGTGCCTTCCGATGTCATTGTGGATGCCTCCATGGCAGCTGCGGTACGAGATGCTGGCCGCATGTGGACCAAGGCATCAGCAGAATCATCGCCAGCAGCAGGGTTTAGTAGCCGGGAACTGGTAAAAGAGATATGATGAAAGAGTGACATGGAACTTCAACCCATCATGGCTGCCAGCAGGATGACGAGTTGTGTGATGCAAAGTTTGTCATTCCCGATCGCTGCTACTCTGGCATCTATGATGTGATCATTGAGGATTGCAAGGCGTGACAACGGAGAGCCAAACGTCAGCCAAACGAGGAGAGCAAACATCACAACACGCACAGCATGAGCAAAGGCGACTGGTGATAGGAATGCAACAAATCTTGCACTTGAGTTCACCTTAGTAGGATTGAAAGGTTTTGACTAGATTCTAGGTATATATATGTATATATATATATACTACTTTGCCCTAGGACAGGTATCCTGCATGCTAATGATGGCCATCCTTGTGTGATCGTGACTGGATCTGGGTATGATTTAAACCGGCCGGGTCTTCATGGCATTCTTGGCTTCATGGTTCCTTCGTAGGCCCGGGGTCGACCATGGAGCCACAGCCGTGCTGTTTCCCCAATGGTGCTCTTGCATGCTCTTGCCGGGTCCAGGCCAATGGCAAGTTGGATGCCAGTAAGATCGGCACCTTGGCACTTGATCGTCCAATACCCAGTATCCGCTCGGTGGCCACCATCGTGGTGGTCTATGGACCGTGTAAACTGGTTGCAAGGAATTTATCCAATCCTTTTCCCAATACCGTAATGGCACTCTGGATCAGCTATATAGTCAGACCAGTCACCTCCGTCCCAAAGGACGTAGGCCATCACGAAGGCCAAAAAGTTAAGATACCTGAATGAGGTGAGCCCCAAAGAAAAGGGACGCTGTTCGAGGATGCGGGAGAAAGATGACCAAGCTACAGATGGAGATAAGAGATGCTTTGACTTGACCATGATGATGGTGCTGCAGGACTTTTGCAAGACAACTTTCCTTTCCGGAGTGCCACATCTCCACATCTAAAGGCCACAGATCGCCAAGCGCACAGGGCAAGACGGATCAGATGCTTTGCGCTAGAGATTTCCTCTAAGCTGACACTAATGACTAAGAGTTTGACACACAAGAGCACAGGCACGAAGAGAGTGCGCAGCCACCTACAGATCTAATTACATAGTATCCACGCTTTGGGATGGGATTAAAAGCGGCAAGGCACCTTTACGTTTGGGACCTTCCGGATAAGCCGATATACATATATATATATATACATATGGAGATTACTTGGGCTTGACTAACCTGCTTCCAACAATACTTCTTTTCCGACTTGCGACTTTCCTTGGAGTCCCCGGGCCCTTGGTATATCATTAAATACGTCTGAGAAATTGGTAAGAACTTTTGGGAAATTTGAGGACATTCATCTCGTCCAAGGGTGGACAGGCCCAAATTTCACGGTTGGGGCATTGATAGCTTTCCGGAGAATTGGGAGAGTCTTGAGCCCTTACTGGTTTTCTCTTGAATGCAGATGGACGGGCATATACACTGGATTGCAGAAATGCAAGGTGTGTGTGTGTGTGTCAAGCCCTGTCTCGAAGGGTCTTTTCCACCACGTGATACCGCAGGGGGCAGTGACAGAGTTTGTGGAATCTGCCAACGAAGACGTCCACATTCTCTGGTGATGCATCGGGAGACGTCCTGATGTGTACCTGCTGAACTTTTGATCACGTTGTCTAATTTGCTTGGTTTGATTCCATGATTCTTCATGCTACCACCCCCAAACTCTTTTCCCACAGCAGATGTGCAGCCGCGCTGATTGCTCGACACCGCTGTTCTCGTGACTTGCAGATGTGCGGAAACTATTTGTTCAAACATCTTCAATTCATCGGACCTTTCACCGTGCCGTTCCATCACCATTTTTCCTGGAAATTGAGTTAACTGAAAGCCAATGTCGAAGTGTAAACCGCTCAGCCGTCCCACATGGGTGCTGGGTGTGATCCTCCGCAAGGAGGCGCTGTTTACATGCCGGAAATTGAGCCACTGAATCATCTTCCTTTCATGGACTTTTCCTCGATCTTTCTCTACCCTGAATTCACTGCTCATACAGCCGTCGGGCTTTGAAACGAATTTGCCAGCCGCCGGGCTTAAAAACGGCTCTTTTCCCTCCCTCCTCCCCCTTCCCCCTTCCCCCCCCCACCGCGTTCTACTCCCTACCTAATCAGGGTAACATAGGGAAATGGTACTCGACACACTTGTGTGTCGGTGCCTTTCCCTCTGTTGTCCCTTTTCTAGTCTACTCTACCCGGGCGGTTTAAGACTAAAGTCCCGCTCCCTAACTATTGAATTGCACTGTAATTAGTCTCGGCTAAGTAGTCAGTAATCCTAGAGGGCTAGGTATTCAAACACACACGTGTACACACACATGGACATACACCCCCTCCCTGCCCCCCCTTTTCTTTCTTGCGCTTTCCGTCGTTTGTTGGGCTTTCTCTCAGGCTTTTTAGGTGGCTCTTGAGGCTCGTTTCCCTACCCCAGTCAAGGGCTAAGTATCAACTTTTCCTTTTTTCTACACCTATCTTTCTCTCTTGCCCTCTTAGCGCTGCTCTTTCTGTCTTTCTTTCTTTCTTTCGTTTCTAAGAATTTTTAGGTATCTATTCAGGCTTCTCACACGAGCGCCGCCAAGCGGCACCGTGTGTGTGTCAAGCCCTGTCTCGAAGGGTCTTTTCCACCACGTGATACCGCAGGGGGCAGTGACAGAGTTTGTGGAATCACTGCCAACGAAGACGTCCACATTCTCTGGCGATGCATCGGGAGACGTCCTGATGTGCACCTGCTGAACTTTTGACCACGTTGTCTAATTTGCTTGGTTTGATTCCATGGTTCTTCATGCTACCACCCCCAAACTCTTTTCCCACAGCAGATGTGCAGCCGCGCTGATTGCTCGACACCGCTGTTCTCGTGACTTGCAGATGTGCGGAAACTATTTGTTCAAACATCTTCAATTCATCGGACCTTTCACCGTGCCGTTCCATCACCATTTTCCTGGAAATTGAGTTAACTGAAAACCAATGTCGAAGTGTGTGAGAGATTCAATTTGACACGTTCTTAATCAATATGCATATCCTGCCTCATTCCAAGTCAAAGTGCCCTGAGAGTCTATAAACCTCATAGCCACGGGTGCTGAATAGGTAGACATTAGAGATACTAATAACTAATAACTATATAAAAACAAATAACCAAGAGGACATGCAGACCAAGACCAAGTATTGGCCACCCTGCTCAGAACTTCCACATCCACTTACTGTAGGTGCTACCTCCAATGTGGGGCTCATGGCTGCAAAGGCTGAAGAGTATGGTTCCCATGACAAGACCTTTGTGATTCCTGAGGAGCAGTTGCTTGGTGAATGCTGATAATACTGAATGCTGACGACGACACTGAAGCTAGAAGGTTCAATTTGATGGCAATTAAGTTGAAGATTTGATTTTCGACCACTTGCCATGTTTGGTGTTACAAATCGAAAGGCTCCATGCATCGCCAATACGGACGAACGGTCTGGAACCTGTGCGGAGGATGGCCGCGTGCAAGTGGTCGAGCGTGACAGCGGAAAGGCCTGGGCTGGTGGTTGTGAAATGGATTTCAGATGATTTCAGGATAGTAGGGGCAGGGACGCTACTAGGGGCTCCTGGCCTTAGTACTAGGAGCAAGAGGATGCTACTAGGGGCTCCAGGCATCCATATACATGTGCACTGGAAGCCAAAAACAAAATAATGATAGCCCTTGGCCATAATTAGTGTACTTCAGGTTGTCCACGGCATGCCACGGCTATTTTCTCGAGCCCAAGTTGAGTCACGTTCATCATCCATGACTCAACTTGGTTTCGAACATATTTCTTTTGGGACGAAGACATCTTGGTAGCACGCCCCTCGGCCGGTCGACCCACCATGGCTCTGGCTCGTGGCCGAGCATATCCTGGGCCGCCTCCGCCTGACTATGGCTACAGCAGGTACCCCGCTCCACCAGCACCCACCCCTATGGCTACCCGCCACCACATCATCCCCCACCTGGCTATGGCTACCCGCCACCGGGCTATCCAGAGGATTTTAGAACCTGTATTTACTGTATACAGTAAAGGTGTCTATTGAAGCATGCATGGATCTTGCCACCTCAGTTTCGCTGACCGGCGGTTGATCTGTTGCAGCATTATTATATGTATATATCTTCCTGAACGAGAAATTACTATTATTGTATTATCTATATTTGTAGAGCGCCTCTAGAGCAACTTCTGCAAGTGCGAGGTTTTGATGTCGCACGATGTCTCCGGTGGAGATGTTTGGCGAATGTGCGCCGGGCTCGGTTGTTTATCTTTGCTGCACCATGTAAATGCTATTGTCTGTGGAATGCCTGGTGGTTTGCTGAATGTTGACAACAAATCTGAGAGGAACCCTCACTCAACTGAGTCAGACTTCCTCACTCCTGTTTGTGGGCAACCTCGGTGGCCTGAACCGCGAAAACTGGGTCAACTTCTCGGATCTTCTCAGAACTGAGGCCAGACCAAAGATGGGCCTATCCAAGATTGGGTGAAGTTGGCAGTGGTGCGTGCACGTGCGACTGACACGCCAGGGCTCTTAGAATCTCTTGGACTAGAGATTGTGGAATCCTTACCGCCACGAAGGCTGTAATATATATATATATATATGTATATATATATATTGCATCTCGTGGTGTGCGATTGGTCTGTGCTGGACATTTCTTGACTCTCCTGCTTTCTCTTTGGACCAACGCATTCTTGCACACTTGACTTCAGACCCCTACCAAGGCCTGCGATCTTTTGGCTGTCAGAAGCCCGGGCACACGACCGCTCCATGATCTCGAAGGTGAAGGAGTACTTGAAGAGACACAACACTGAAGGCCAGACCCAACGACTCAGCCCCAGAGCAGGTCAAGGTTCTCTCTTCAAAGATTCAGAATCCTCTGATTTCACAATCCTGACAAACGCATACAAAGGCAGTGTTTCAACCTATTTCTTCTGTATTCGTGGCTCAGACAACGAAGGATTCGAGCAAGCGCACCAAGGATGGAAAAGTACAGCTCAAGCAAAACTTTGGCGTTGTATAGTTTTGTAGTTTTGCACGTTTTTCCTCGCGTATAAGTTTGCATACGTGTGGGTGCCACTGTGTGTATCACCTTTGTCTCTTGCAGGTTTGGACATCCGTATTCTTTCCCCAGAAGAGGCCGAGTGCTTCTGAGTTGAACTGGTCGTCCATAGAATCGACTCTCCCACCTATACAGGCAGGTTGTTTGAGGCAGCAAGTTGCTACTGGATTCTTGCAACATCTTGCCTGCAAACTGGATTCTGCCCGAATTGAGCAGAATAGATCAGAATAGTATCAGCCCTTGGCTGAGGCCCTTTAAGGTCTTGTTTGAAGGTAGTAGAATCCTGAGCTGTGGCGAAGCTCATCGGTGCCTGTGGGGTCATTTCTGATATTTCTTGCAATTCTTGTTTGTTGTGAAGATTTTGCATCCCCACACCAGGCCATGACATTCACCTTGGAGCGTGCTCGACAAGGGCTTGACACCATCAGCGTGACCGGCAATGTGCTCCGCGTTTTGGCAGAGCGGGTGGCGGGTGGGACTACAAATTGGACCTATATAAGGGAAGGATGTAGACAGGAACAAGAAGCTACTAGGAACAAAGGGCATCACGACTAGGAGCAAGGACGCTACTAGGGGCTCCTGGCATCGCTACTAGGAAAAAGAAGCTACTAGGAACAAAGGGCATCGCTACTAGGAGCAAGGACGCTACTAGGCGCTCCTGGCATCGCTACTAGGAACAAGAAGCTACTAGGGGCTCCTGGCCTTACTACTAGGAGCAAGGACGCTACTAGGGGCTCCTGGCATCGCTACTAGGAACAAGAAGCTACTAGGGGCTCCTGGCCTTACTACTAGGAGCAAGGACGTTACTAGGGGCTCCTAGCATCGCTACTAGGAACAAGAAGCTACTAGGAACAAAGGGCATCGCTACTAGGAGCAAGGACGCTACTAGGGGCTCCTGGCATCGCTACTAGGAACAAGAAGCTACTAGGGGCTCCTGGCCTTACTACTAGGAGCAAGGACGCTACTAGGGGCTCCTGGCATCGCTACTAGGAACAAGAAGCTACTAGGAACAATTGGCATCGCTACTAGGAGCAAGGACGCTACTAGGGGCTCCTGGCATCGCTACTAGGAGCAAGAAGCTACTAGGAACAAAGGGCA